ATATTATCAGATCTTAACACTTGTATTGTTGTGCCAAATTAGGTTTTGATCATTTTGTGAAAATTTTGAAATATGGCTCTTTCTTCTAACTTCCCTTTCATAAGGAACACCTGAGTGATTCTTGTGTGATCATCAATGAAGGATACAAACCACTTATTTCCGGATATATCAGTGAGTCGGGAAAGTCCCCAAACATTACTGTGAATTAAAGAAAATGGTTTAGATGATGTATACTTGAGACTAGGAAAAGTATTCCGAATATGCTTAGAAAGTTGACAGGTTTCACATCGATATAACAATGGGTCTTTATTAGTGAATAATGACGGAAACATTTTCTTTAACTACAGAAAGTTTGGATGTCCTAAGCGGGAATGCTATAACATGATTTCATGGTCACAAGTCCTACTAACAGAAATAGAAGCAGTACCTACATTTGGAGCTTGTCTACTAGAAGGTTCAACACGGAGGAGGTAGAGTCCGGTATGCACTCTAGCACTGTCAATCATCTTCCTCGAGTCTGATATCTTGAAATTCACACAAAGTTGAACCAAATTTAGCAACACAGTTGAGATCAGTAGTTAGTTTCCGAACTGATAGTAAATTATATGCTAAATTTAGAACAAAGAAAACAGATTCCAGAACAATTAAAGGTGACACGACTATTGAGCCAATGCCAACCACTCTAGATACAGTTTCATCTGCAACCCTAATGGTGAAATTCTTACTGCAAGGACGGTAATCTTTAAACAGAGAAACATTACCAGTCATGTGGTCGGTTACACTAAAATCAACTATCCATGCTTGTTCACCTGTAAAACATGCTGTAAAACAAAGTACTTGGGGATTATTACCTTTTTGAGTGATTGTTATATTAGCTGAACTTTGGGACAACAATTTTTGAATGGTCTTTTGGAGAATATCAAGTTGCCTTAGGGGAAAATGGTCATTTCTAGAACCTGAGGCAGAATCAGATCCTTCTTCATTTGTTGCTGCGACTACAGCCACGTTACTTCGCAATTCTGTGGAGCTTTCGGATTTTAGAGGATGACGGTCAGCTGGCTTGCCATGAAGTCGCCAGCAGCGGTCATGTACGTGGTCGGGCTTTTTGCAGTAATTACAAAAT